AAAAAGTTCAGATGCCAAAATAAGCAACTATCAAGAAAAATAATATTATAACAACAATTACCAGTCAACAGCTACTTTGTCAGCAGTTTTTGGGTGCATATCATGGGCACTAAAACTAACATAATTCTCTATGTTGCCGTCAACGAATTTTGTAAACATCTAGAAATACTGTTTATAACTGATCAAAATTTTCCATAACTGACAATAATCACTGAATGATCAAACTGCAACAGGTCTCACCCACTCTGCCAATTTATCTACGGCATCTTTTCGAATTTCAATTTGTCCAGTTGAGTTTGCAATAACATAAGCAGCCGACTCCCGCGGTAATAAACGATCTTTTTCAAAATTTTTTAAGTTTCTAAAATTTTCGTTCAACTTCTCATCCATTAATGAGGTTACTAAATGAAAATTTTCAGAAAACTATAGAAAATACAGTTGACTAATCAGACGAATTAAAACGACTATAAGATCACTATATCATCACATATATACATCTCAACTGTTACAGTAAATGTTTTTCAAATAAGAAAAAAACTTTTTCCCATCTTTAACGATTAAACGAATGATTAGAGAATCTTCAAAATTAAATCTTCTAAAAAAAAAGACGATTATGAAGAAGAAAAAGATGCTTGACTACGCTGGACAGAAAATCATTCTAGATAAAACATGTATTCCATCATCATTGGCAAGATAAGCGTAACAAGCACAAAGTCCGTTGCTATCTTTTTCACAAGGCTGACAGAAAAACGACAAAACTTTTTTCAACTGCTTTACTTGTATTTAATTCCAAATCATCATCTCCATCTTCTTTTCCTTCGTTCCCTTTGATGAACTGTCATCAAAAACCATCATTATCCATCTCTAGGCCCCGTACTTCGCGCAGCTTTCAGGCAAATATTTTAAACAAAAAGTATTACTTAACATTCTCACAGTTTATAGACATATTAACATGAAACATCAACTGGAGAAAAAAAAAAAAAAACAAGAATGATAACACCATTAAACTATCAGTGAAAGATCAACCAACAATAATCATAAACGCAAATATACATATTCCCTCTCAGCACTTATTTTGAACTGCAGATTTTCTGATAGAATAGTCGAAAAAAAAAATTGTATCGACAAATGGGCATTCAGTATTTTTAACAAAATACTTAGACACCAATTCTACTCCGGCTAATATTATTGACATTCAGTGTACTCAAAAAAGTAGCTCCTTTTTTTTGCAGTTACATTTATCAAAAAATTTGCAAGTCTTAAATTTTCTTTTACAATTTTCCCCCCCCCCTCCCCTCCCCTTCCATTTCGCTATCTTTAATAAATCAACAATTTGATT